GCATTTGCTTGGGTCTCTCTTTTTTTTTTCCCCATCCAGCTCCTTACTTGTCCGCTTCGCAGAAGCCAAAGCCAGTCGCTGTCGCAGTCGCCGCTCGGTAGCCATTCCGCAGAGCTCTGCGGGACATCGAGGGGCCATAAAGCCGTCGTCGCAATCGTTGCAGCCAATTGGCTTGTGCCCGCTCATTGAGCCGTTTGCGGTTGATATGCGTTATTAGCCTCAAGTATGGCCCATTCGCATTGCACAGCATTTGGTGGCTCCCGTCTAGGCCTGCATCATAGCTGCACTTGGCCAGGAGCCGGGGTCAGCAGAAAGGTTGTGTGCCGATATCTCCAACCCGAAAGTGTATGGCAAATTTAATTAAAATTTCATTGCCCATGAGCTCGGGCTATCCCCTGTTGCCGCTAATGGCCAGAGCCATCGCACACTCATTTCGGGTGGACTAAGCCCAATATTGTGCCTAAGCTACCGCACCCACATCCCAGTTCCACTCCCTGTCGCCCCCTTGATGCCATGACGATTAGATTTTATTAAAAAGCCAAATATGCACAATTATTATGCTACGCCAACCACTTGACAGTCATGAGTCCATGAGCCCTAATATATACGCGATGTGTTATTGTTCTTGTTGTTGTTGTTGCTGTTGTTGTTGTTGCTGTGCCGCGCCCTGCCCAGCTGGCCGTCACATTCACATCCACCACCACGGCACCCGGCCGCCCGTCCGCCCGACCGCCCGTCCGCCCGACCATTAACATTAACAATGCCCCGACTCTCGTTGTCTGCGGTGTCCTGGCATATCGTTCATGGAGCGCACAATTCGCTTATTTGCTTTTTAATAAAACAGGTGCTCGACCTTCAACGTTGACGGCGCGTAAATGAAGGGCGGGCCCGGCCCGTCCGTCAGGGGTTTCCCTTCCATGCGAAACATACGCTTTGTGTGCGTGTGTCCTTGCTATCTTTTATCATTTAATTTCGCATTCAAACGTTTCGCACCCTCAGCATCAAAAGGATGCAAAAAGGATCACGCACACAGTTAAAGTCTATCCCGGACTTGCGTGCGGTCGTCACTCGACCCTGGCAATGTTGTCATTTTTCATTTTGCGCAGTGCCCCCCGAAATTTGTATATGTCGAAAAGTCCAACATTCCGAGCAGGACCAGAACCATCGCCATCACCATTATCATTGTCATCATCTTCATCATCGGGTTCAGCATCAGCAACAGCATCTTGATGCTGTTGATCCGGCAATTAGGCCAAGCGGAAAGCGTGCGCAACTATTAAAGAGGGCGCCAGGACCAAGCACCAAGGACCAAGACATTGATGACTGTCAGCCAAGGGCGGGTGACCGGGGGTTGTTCCTTGGTTGGTTGTTGGTTGGTTCGTTGGCTGTGCGTGTATTTCAAATCGTTTTGTGATTGCTAAAAGCTGTCGTTGGACTTTATTGGTTTCTTGCCACGAGATTTCATCTACACTGAGAGAAAAATTATTCAGCTTTAGATAAGATATTCATTAAATGAAATCTATAAGTCAAAGTTGCCTAGTTATTACAGCTATATCCATTTCGACGACAATTATGAAATATTATATAAGTTAAAGCAAAACTTTTAACAAATCTCGCAGTTAGTTTAAAAAAATGGTTGATATATATAAAAATGGTTACCTTTATTTTAAATATGTCCATGCATTGGGACAATCATTATAGATATAGATATTCTCAATCGCAAAGCAAAATAGAGTTGTCTGTAAGAATGTCAGAAAGTTCGTTCGTTCGAAAAGTCAACCTTTTTAGATGATTTTTTGGAATATCTCGAACAAATAATGTCAGATTTTGAAATGATATACCATTTTATACTCGTAAGGATCAGTACTATCGATTGGCATTAAAACAATGAAAATATAATTTTTGACCCAAATCAACAAAATGGCAAGGGGTTACATTACGTTTTTTTCTCAAAATCGGAGTCGGTTCGAAAATCAAAACTTTTTTTGGTGATTTTTTGCATATCCCAGTTAAATATCTCGGACAAATTATGTCCGATTTTGGAATGGAACCCTTTTTAAACTAAAAAAATATAATTCTAGCAAAACAATTTGGTTTCAATTGAATTTTATTAAGCATTGTTTGATTTTGATCGACTGCATCTGTTTATTTCGCATTTAAATACAAATGGTAAATTTTGTACAGTGCATCGGCGAATATTGTGCCAGTATTTTTTGGACTATCATTTCTATTATCAAAAGTCATTGACACCCTTTTATTTATTTTTACATTTATTGTTTTTCTCCTTTATACATTTATCTGGGCGATAATCGCTTACATGCCACTTGTGCGGCACGGAGGGTGATGCTTCCGCCAGGAGCGGGAGCAGGAGCAGGAGCTGAAGCTCGGCATGGGGAACGGGAATGGGAACAATGCCGTGAAATAAGGATTAATGGTGTACACGATTATTTGTGCCTGGCGACAGACAGTCGGACAGACAGACAAACATATTAAAAAATACAATACGAAAACTGTCGCGAGGGCGGCAGAGCCATGAGTAGGAACAGGAATGGGAACTGGAACAGGACGAGGATGAGGACGTGAGCACTGGCGGCGCTCGCATATTCATGGCATGGCGTAGGTCGAATTTAATAAAAGTCCCTGCGCGGCAACATCTCGAGTGCGAGTGTGCCCTTGCCGGAGTCTGGGGGAGAGCTCAGTTTGTGTGGGCGCCGTGTTGGACGGAGGGTGGGGGATGGTGGAGGGGGGGGTGGGTTTTGGCTGGTTTGTTGTTGTCGGGATTTCGCCACGCTTCTGGTTGGCTGAGTGTTTTTTTCGGGTGTGCTGCGCACAATTGTTTTTGCAGCTTGGGGTTTCCTTTATTTGGATGATGAAGAATTTATTTGAAAATTAAGAAGACAAATTATTTAATTTCGACTTTATGAGCTTTTCCCTGCCCGCGCCGCAACCCTCAGCGCCAGCGCCAGCAACTGCGATTCTGCTTTTGGCAAGTGCTTTAATTCCCCCCCCCCCCTCCCCCCCTGCTTCCTTTCGCAGCAGCAAAAGGGGCCACGCAGCGGCCACTTCTCGGACCATTTCGGACGGCTCGCGTTCTTGGAAAAGGGTTCGCACTCGAATGGGCGGCGACGGCGACGGCCATTTTGTGCCATTTGATAGGACCAAGAATTGGACGCGTTTTGCATTTTATGCCCGTCGTGGTAATAAACACGCAGCGAACGCAAACGCGAAGGCGAGCGCTCCGCGGAAGGGTTGAGAGGGGCGCCGATGGTGCTGGGCCTCTTGGACTCGGAACGAGCACGTCACAAACTTAATTTCGTTTAGTTTTATGTACATTTCATTAAGCAAAAAATTTCTAGCGACGCGACAGACCACGGGCCACGCCATACAATGTATGCCACATTTGCGTTCCCGCGCGACCGCGTGTCCTGCGCGGCGAGCAGGACTTGGACTTGAGCGAAGGGACAATCAAGATAAATAGCAAGCGGAATTTTTATTGCCGAAAGGATACGAATGAAAATAAAAAAAAAAAAACAAATGCAACGAAAAGCAACAACAGCATATAGCTAGTTACAACAACAAAACAAAGAGTTGAAAGTGTTGACGTGACGGCGACTATGTCCTCAGCTCTCAGTCCTCTGTGTGTGCGCACAGGACACACACTCACACATACAAGCACACACACACACACACCCCGCTCACCTTTATGTATGGAAAATTGTCAGCGTGTTTTGTATTTTCCAAATTTATTGCCACTTGCAACATTTTGTAGACGGGCAGCCCATAGATTATCTCGTCGTTTAGAGCCTAATATGCACCAGAGGCAGCCGCAATATGATTTATCACCGACCAACCGATATATGATCGCCTGTGTGTGTTTGTTTGTCTACGGATGCGGCAACTTTATAGAAAGTGTCTGCTTGGCCTTTGCCTTTGCCACTGCCCCTGTCCCCGTCTCTGCTTCTGTTTCTAGCTGCCACTCCAGCTGCGAAGCGCAACATTTTTAATTACACTTTTTACAGGAAAATTAAATGGCAACATGTCATCGCTAATTAAATTGTTCTCCTTTCGTTTGTTAGTTTATTGTTTTTGTTGCCATCCCGTGTGTCAGTGTGTGCCACATTTGTGGGCATACTGGAAAGGGTTATGTCCAGATACAAGCGTTGATAGGAAAACACATTTATCATGGGGATAGGAAGTTTTATTAGGTTGACATTTGTTTAACTGATGAGGACATCACAAAACATGGAATGGAACAAATTATAATGTACACATATATTTCAGGTGAAATTTAGCCTTTAACTCAATTAATTTGCCCATTTCATTACTTACCTTACAAACAGTCGCTGCTGGGATATTCAAATTGCGCGCTATTAACATAACCTCACCTAACCAACAGATGTAAATTCGCAAAGCAACTCTACAAAGTGTTTTAAGCAACTCTGTGCTTGCAGGATTGCCAATCTGATTGCCAAAATTCAAACGGTATTTTAAGCAATTTTTCAAGTTCAATTTTGGCGCCCATTTTACAAATGTAGGAAGTCAGCCTATTCTAATCAGCTTAATATTCTTTGGTGTTCCTCTTTAATAAAACTTTGATCAACGCACAACTGTAAGAGATTGGAAGCTGACATTTTTACTGTAATTAAAAAATTTATATGAAAATCTTTTGTTTACAATCCGATCGGCCTCAAGCTCATCAGTAATAAAACAGTTTTAGTATCAAAGAAGCGAACTTTAAACATACATTTTTATTGTATAATAATCCCTTTTATTAAAAGTTTAATCCGATACGAAATTGTGTATTGTGACAGGAAAACTGATTAATTGTTTTAAAACAAAATTTTCTGCCCCGATCTGTTGCAAGCCGCTTGCTAAAATAGAGATGTTTGGTTGAGACGAGCAGATTGTTGCAAATAAAGTCCTGAGCGAAAAGGAATCTATTGTATTGGCGGCAAACTCGAAAGTAACCCGAACTTCACAATTGCAGCTTATATTAACTTCACAAATACTATCGTCTCTTCTGAAAAGAAAGAAAACATATAAGACCACAGGTATAAAGAATATAATTTATTTAGAAAAAAATGCTAGTGTTTATACTTTAACAAACATTTGACTTGCTTCATACGCTCCAGTATAGCGGGCCGTATCGCGGAGCGAACATCACCTTTGGGCTTTCTTTTAGTTGACTCGATTTCCTGCTTATCAACTACTCTACAGATGGCCCATTCACGCGTCTCGTTCTCGAACTCTATGCGGAACTGTGCAAAAGGTGTCGCTACTCGCATAAATGTGCAGAGGACTCGAGTACGTAAATCCTCAGTGGAATCCGTTTGCAATTGTCTTCGAGAGTTGTATGTGAATTCGCCAATATCACGTAACAAGTACTTAAAATCGGCCAACAAACTGGGCGTGCAATGCGAGAACAAGGTCTCCAGCAGCGGCCCGTAGACGTTACAGAGCTGTCCGTTAACGCAGACCAGGGCCTGCTGATACGGGCTGCCCACGGCCATGCTATTGATGTGGTACTTGCTTATCTGAGCAGTTGTCAGAGAGCTGAAGTAAAGGTAACGCTCCAGGGTCCGGAACACGATGCGCTTGTGTTTCTCTGCTGGCGCCCTCGTAGCCCTATCATTCTTATTGCTATCACTAACCTCGTCTACATTTACCTTGCGCTTACTAACGAACGGTGCATCCAGCAGGTGTTGAATCTGCGAGGATGCCATCAGTGTGTTGTCGGTGGCGAGCTCCTGCGAAACAGTCCTCGCTTCTTCCAACTCGTTGTTTGGTTGGTTCTCTAACTGTTGCGCCTGACGGGAACTCGTGGGCCCTTCTTGCTGTGGTGATCCTTCCTTATTCAAGAGGTCTGGCGACTCGATGCGAACCATAGCTGCTATTGGTAGGGGCCGGAACTCATGTCTCAGCTGTGGCACATTGTCAACCATCAGACGTGGCCTTTTTCTAGACACCGCTGTCGTTGTTGGCATCTGTTTCTTGTCTGGAGCAGGCCTGAGAGGCATTGCTGTTGTTAATACTGGATCGGGCTCTGGTTGTTTTGCCTCGATTACATTTGTTGTAATTGCATTTTCTGTTTCCGCACCAGGCGCTGGCATCACCGGTTCCGTGGTGGCAGGGACCCACATACTTACAGTGGGCGCCTGCGAATCATCATCTAATCGTTGTACTTCTGCTAGCAACTTTTGAAAAGAGTCCCCTGACGTTGAAGGTACGTTTGAATCGGAGGATAATGATGGCGCATTTGAATTGTTTATCTCAAAGCAAGCCAGATCTGCTGCCTCCCGTTCTTCCACGATATCATCGTCCAGATTAATGATTTGTTCCTCAGATGTTATAATTTCGCATTTGAATTCCGAATTGGGGTTGCTATCGCTGTTGAGCGAGAAGCGCATCATGTTGAGAAATTTGATAGGTTCCTCCTTGACGCGAATTGCTTCGGCTGCAGGGCATATGCTTTGATTGAGTGGATCATTTTGGCTCTCTGCCACTTGCGAGGCGGGGAAAACATTCTCCATGTCCACAAAGCAGGGTGGGCGGAGAGACAACTCAAGTTGTGTGGATGGACAAACTGATTCCTGCAGCGCTACTGAAATGATATTTATGTATTTTAAATACAAATGCGTATTTTAAAACCAATCGAACTTACATTCATTTTCATTTAAGTCTGGCAAAGCTGTATCCGCAGCAGTAGTCGCAACCGTATCAGCTGATAAGCTATTCCTGTTCTCTTCTTCCTGTTCCTTTGATAAGCTATTCCTGTTCGCTTCTTCCTGTTCCTCTGGGCGCTCGGCGACAGTAGCGGGAGCATCTTCCTCAATCATGCAAAGTGGTACTAAAAAAGGAAGTTTGGTTACGATTCTGATAGTCGGTATTTGAAAGGGGCTTACATTGGGATGCGGAGTCCTCCATTGGTTCGCATACTGGTACACTGTCCATCCTAGCAATTGACTGCGCTAACTCCTCTCTTACCTGTGGCACTTGATATAACCACTGATCGTGTGACCAGCACAGCTTGTAAAACTTTCTAATCTCAATGAACAGCTCCTGCATATCTTCGATATCGTGGCCGGTGCGTGCGTGGAAGTTCCGTTCAACGATTTCGTCCAAATTGCTGAACCGGAGTAGTTCCATATAGTGCAGCATCTTGGGTGACAGTTGACCCAAATCAAAGGCATCCAGTTCAACGCCTTTACTGTGCAACAGTTGGGGCAACAATTGCAGTTTCAGATGCAAATTACCCGGCCAGTTTCCCTTGCCCAGCACATGGTAATAGCATCGACACAAAATACTTTCATCCTTGTATAACGACGCACCCTTATATATGCTCGTATATGTCTTGAACTCCGGATAGCTTAGCTGCGAGAGTATGCGCCAAATGGTTTTCTTTACGCCGTGGCTAGTGCATAGCAAGTACTTAATGTTGTGCTCCTATTGTAAAAATGACAAAATGGTTAGAACATGTTTTAAAATTACTTATTTATCAGAGTGAATTATCAACCTATTTCCACATAACTTTTATGTAATACCAAGCTTATCATTAAAAGCGGCAATCAACTTTTTATTACCTTGCTGCTCTCTGCAAAAAATTCTTCGGCTGCCTTTGCCGCAGAGGCAGGGATCTCTGTTGGAGCTATTGTAGCTGGCAAAGTAATTTGCGTATTGCCTAGACCAGTTGCTGTAGCTCTTTCCGCTGGAATTGCCATTGATGCTGTTGCTTTTTTCAGTGCAGCTACCGTTTCTGCCATATTCGATGAACTGGAACTACTCTCAGCCGATGTTTCCATACATGTTGGTTTACTAGGAGCTGTATTGCTGGCGATCCTGACAGTTGTGGGTTCATACATCGAGGGGGTCGTTGCTGTCACCGTGTTTGCAGTTGTTGCTGCTGGTGTGTTGGTAGCTAAGCTTTCCGCTGCCGTTGTTGCCACAGTGTTTGTCACGGCACCCATTTCCGGGTTGTCTACTTTTTGTGTTGTTACTGTTTCTATTGTTTTTGCAATTATAGTTGTTGTTGTTGTAACTGTTGTCGCAGATGTTGTTATTGCTGCGCTCGAATTTCTCTTTGAGACTGATTCCACATCTTTCATCGCACACTTGCTTGCAGAGATGCCGCTTTGTGCTGCAACTGCAGCCGAGCATTGAGTTTTTGCTACCGCCTCAGTGCTTTGCTCCATAGCTGTTGATACGCCTGATGCTCTAACCCCGTGAGCGGGCTCAACGGTTGCTGCTCCTGTGCTGTCAGTGGTTGGCGCTGCGGTTTCCTCTGTGTTTTTTTGCTTCAACCTTTTCCTGCCAATGAAATGTTTCTCCAACAGGGCACGCTTTTTCGGGCACTGCGTTCGAAGCGCTATATAGGTCGCCAGATTGTGGGGCGTGTACTGAACAACGTTTGACTTATCCATGCTAATGGTGAAAAAAAATGTTGGTTAACAAACATAAAATAAACAATAAATAAAAAACTTACCGTTCAAGCTCTGCTTTTCGGGCAGCATACAGAGCAGCCACACTTTGGATACCCTCACTATTCTCGAAGGTTGACCTATGTTCGGGCATTGGATCCTCCTCTGGTAGTTGAAGCAATTTTTCCCTTAGAAGTGCCGGACAGGCCTTTAAAGTGCACTTATATTTTTGACGTATTTCCGGAGTGCGATAGAAAGCGTCGAAGTATGCGAGCTTACACTCATTGGCGGTAACGTTTGCATACTGAGCCTCCTGTTGCATTTGCTGCACAACCTCATCCAAATTTAATATGTTCGAGAAAATATTATATGAGATGGGATATCTAATTGCAGCCTTGTGTTGCCGCTGTGGCAGAGCCTCCTGTTGCATTACTTGGTCGTCAAGTCGGTCTGCGACGGTGTTTACAGTGTTTTCTTCTCTTGAGTCCTTTTCTTCACTAATGGCAGCACTCACTGGCGTCGAAGGCGATGGCAAAGGTGAGGGTATTGAGAGGGTTTTGGGACAGGGCACAGCAAACTGCAGCAATATATTTTGCATCTCGGCTGGCGCGGCATCGAAATTGTAGTTACATAATTTACGGGCACGTGCATCCACGTAGAATGAGTGATAAAAACGCCGCAGTAATACCAGATCATAGCGATCATCACTCAATATTTTATCAACTTTCTGCTTGCTTTTCGTGAAGGCATTTGCTAGCTCAATCCTGACCGTGTCATAGTTGATGTAGCGCTTAAATGTTTGCACTGAAACAGGAAATTCATAGGTGATGTCTTGTAAGGTTATCAAAACCCTTTCGCTTTGCACTAAAATGTTGTTATTGTTGCTTTGACCCGAGTTGCAGTTCACGTCGACTATATCCGGCATTGGTTCAGCCACTTCGACCAGAGACTCCTCCTGCCCTGGCTCAGACTCCTTTGCACTGGGTTCTTCGAAATGAGACGGTTTCGGATCTATTTCACATGGCTCGGGTTCTACTAAATCAAGCTCAGGAGAGCCAGTAGCTGGCAACATGAGCAGTTTGTCACGCAGTTTAGCCGGACACGGTTTTATTGTATATTCAAACTTTTTACGTATTTGCGGATCCGTATAAAAAGCTTTAAAATATTCAAATGCGCACTCATCTTTAGATTTGTCCTTATAATCCTCGCAGCACAACATTTGTTGCACAATCTCGTCGAGATTTTTGATGCAACGCTTGAATAATTTGAATGTTACGGGAAACGTTTTAACTAGTTCATCATCCTCCTCCTGGGCTTTTATTTTATTAGCTAACGCAAGTTCGTTTGCGGCTTCGGCCATCTCTCTATTGGCATTGTCATCCAAGGGCTCAGCATAAGCTAACAATTTCTGCAAGAGTTCCGGACTTACATTCCCAAATCGATAATCATATAAATTGCGAATGTTCGGGCGAACATAAAACGAGTGATAATATCTCCTCAATATCTTTTGGTACTGAGGATGCATCGGACTTTCTACTATAGCCGCCATCTGCGACTCGTCTTGTATGACACGTACGAGTAAAGGCCTAATGAGCTCTTTGTAGTTAATGCAACGCATAAATGTTTGAAAGGAGACGGGAAACTTAAACCGGCCGGCTCTGTAAGGAAGAGTTTTATTTAAAACAATGTGGAATTTATAGAAAAGATATTGTTTCATACTTTCCCAGATCCTCTACCACATCAAATTTGTAATCGAAACTGACGATTTCGGTGATTTCACAGTCGCTGCAATTCAACGGTATTTATAGTAATTAGAAATTTTTATTTTTCATATGATAACAAATAATTCACCTGTCCTTTGGCTGTGTGGTAGGCACTTCCTGCTCGCCTCCTTTCCCCCCCTCCTCGGTAGTCGGCCTGCAATAGAATGGGAATCTTAAAATTTACCTAAGAGGCAACAATGAGATTTTCAATTTACGTGGCTTCGTCATTTGGCACTTTGCTTGGCGACTGTTGCTCCTTGCTGCCAACTGGTGTTGCCATCTTCAATAATGTTTCTCTTAGACTAGCTGGAGCTGCATTAAAATTGAATTTAAATGCTTTTCGGACTCTTTCGTCTGTATAAAACAAATAGTAGAAGCGGTTCATTATTTGCTCATCATTTGGCTTGTCGCCACTTTTTCCTTTTTTATCCTCGTATGTCTTGTCAAGCTGCATCTTAAGTTCCGCGTAATTAATATATCGCACGAATGTTTCAAAAGAAACCATAAACTCATACGTTATGCCCGAAAGTGTAACCAGTTTTCGGTCAGAATTAACAGGTAAATTGTCCTCGTTGCTGTGACTATTGTCCGTGACTTTGTCCGCCGAATTGGCAACTTCATCTGGCAGAGTCAGCAATTTATCACGTATCCTGGCCGGACATGGTTTGAGCTGGAACGGAAACTGCTCACGTATTTTTGGATTTGTATAGAACGTGTTGTAGTATTCCAGGGCGCACTCATCTTCAGTTTTGCCCGTGTACCTATCGCAACACAACATCTGTTGCACAATTCTGTCGATATTCCTTATGTAGCGCTTGAACAGCTGGAATGTAACGGGTGGCTTGAACTGTGGCTGCTCATCCCTTATTGTTTGCGTCTTCTCAGGCTGCAACTGAATAACGGGCTGATTTCTGAAAAGTTGATTAAAAACTATAGCGCAGTAAGCTATGCTTTATTTTAACTCATACTCATCGGATTCCACTGCAATGTCCTCATCTTGTATAGTGGGCTGGTTTGCATCAACGTTTTCCACTTGGGGCTTAACTGGAGGGGACTCTGTTAAGCCTTGGCTCTGACTTGCATTTGATTTCATTTGCAGCAACACCTTAGCATCTTCTGGGCTTGGCAATGCGAGTAGGCGGTCTTTCATTGAGCTCGTACACGGTGCTAATACGTATGGGTATTTATCGCGGATTTCGGGTGATAGGTAGAAATCCAAGTAATACTCATAAGCACATTCCTCGAAGCCTTTGTAAGCATAGTCGGGCTCATCAAGCTTCAGACGCCACACGATATCATAGATATTCTTGATATATTTTTCAAAAACCCCAAAGCTCACAATCGACGACGTGCTACATGAACAGGAACTATTTGTATATGTTATAAAAGTGTGCAGCTGCAGCCAGTTTGCGTTGAGCTCACCTGCTTGGTTGATTATCGGCTTGGGGCGGTGCTTCAGTGGTCTGCTGTTGCCTGCGGAGAAAAGGATCGGTCATTATATAATTCCGAGCCGTCTGAGCTGTACGTTTCTTACTGTGACTTTTTCTCCAGCGTTTTCACTGCCAACTCATCCAAAGGAACGCCTATTTTAAGCAACTGCTCCCGCAGTGCAACTGGCGCCCCTGCGAAATTGCATCTTTCGAGGCGACGTCTGCTTGGAAAGATGTAAAATGCGTTATAGTATTTGCGCAAAAGCTTCCGGCACATAGCCTCATTGGCTAACATCGCCGCACGCTGCGCCTTATCCTTGGCCTCCTTTCGTACAATGCCATCAAGCACTTTTTTCTTATCAATATAACGCTCAAACGTGGCTAACGAGACTGGAAACAGGAAACGTCCGCATCTGACAAAATATAATATGATAAGCAACCACAACTCATTATTATCCGAATATATTATTCACCTGTTGACTCTGACCTCAACCCCATCTTCAGTGGGAACCCATTCATTTTGGAGCCCACGAGTCGGATTCGTGGTCGCCTCAGCAGAGCCAACCGAGGTCACTTGCAGCAACTTCTCCCTCACCCGCAACGGGCAGGATCTCAGTCTGAATTCGTATTTCGTGCGGATTGTGGGATTGCTGTAGAAGGCATTGTAATACCAGAGGGCGCACTCATCCAATGTTTTGTTCGAGCCGGCAAACTCGGTGCACTGTATCTGAAATGCGATATCCGGAAGGTTTTCCACTACTTTGCTAAACATACTGAACGTAACTGGGGGAGTACTGGAAAAGACGCACAGTCAGAATTTGCATTGCTTCACATTTGGCACTTTTACTTTGATTTACCTGTTTGTGTGTTTATGCTTAGTTAACCAGTTGCGCATTTGCTCAGACGCCTTTGGGTCACATTTTGGCTTTTTCTTTTTGCGTATACTCGTCATTACTTTCAATTATTTCAAAATATCCATTTATTGCATGAAAGTTTGTAATGGAAAAGACGCATATACAAAATCGCGCTTGTTTCGCAGACAAGCTGCTGTGCTACTTAAGTGTGGCCAGAGTTAAAAAATACAATTGCCTAAAATGACTGACAAGCTTGGCACTGTTTGTCTGTGGGGAGTTTATAGTTGTTTATGTTTATAGTTCATAAACTAACCGTATAGATGGCGTATAGTATTTAAAAAAAATGCACGTCAGCATCTGAAATTCCTTTGCGAGTTTTATTAATAATGCCCGTGCACATAGGAAAAATAAACGTATTAGCAACTATTCATATCAATATATAAAACTGTAGTTCCTCTAAAATATCAGACTTAAAATATAATCGCACTACAATTATCAATCGGCCTGGGATATATTTTGGGCTGCACTAATCAGGGTGTCGTGAATATCCTTCGCCGACTGAACGTGGACGCGCACTGTATTCAGATATGTGGGGTATGGAATGGGGCCAGCGGGATTGTCCTGCATGAAGTTTTCCATTCTCATCGCAGTTACAGCTCCGGGCAGATAATGCTGGGACGATGTCAGCTGCTGCATGCACTGTATCGCAGTCTTAAGATGCAGCTCCATTTGGTCGCAGCACGCGTAAAAGTCCTCCAAGTGTTTGTCAAAGCGGGGAACATGGCCATGGCCGCCTGTATCGCGTTTCAGGTTGTCGGCCAGATTGTTTTGCTGCAGCGTGAAGGCACTAGATCGAATGGTTAGAAACATGGACTCTCGCAGTGGTCCTAAAAGGCTCTTAACCCTCGAGATGTTGTCTAGCTTTTCCGCTTGTTGTTGCTGTTGTTGTTGTTGTTGCTGCTGCTGCTGCTGGTGCTGCTGCATTGGCACGGGCCCGGGTGGTCCGGAGGGCATCATCGGCTGTGGCGACGACTGCATCATGGGCGAGACCTGCATCATAGGAGGCCCAGACATTTGCATCATATTCATATTTGGATTCATGTTGTCTTTAATTTGTAACTCATTTATTTTCACAATTATCACAACAAACTCGGCACAGTATGACTTTGGCAACAATGTGCACCCTGTGACAAGTAAATTTTAGCTATTAAAATACTGAAAAGTTCATGTCGAATACTTTTCTATTTGGTCACACTTTCAAATCTCACAAGCAGCTGTTTTCTGTTGTCGATATTAAATTTATTGCTATCGATGACAGCGTAAAAATAGTTTATCAAGATAATAGCGTTTTTTTTCTAATTTAACAAAGATTTCTACTAAAAATTAAAGCGCAAAGCGCACTGTTAAGGCATAAATAATTTTGTGAACTAAAAATATGACTAGGTAAGTGCTATAGGTGCAGATTAAAAAATCCCATCCAAAGGCGCCGAAACCCTAACCTAAAAGTATAAGGAACAAATGTATCATCGTGTGGCCGATTTTTGCAGATCCAGTATCGAATTGGGCGACGTTACGCCACATAACATAAAGCAACTGAAGAAGCTCAACACGGTTGTGTTTCCCGTTTCCTACAATGACAAATTCTACGTGGACGTGCTGGAAGCCGGCGAACTGGCCAAGCTCGCCTACTACAACGATATTGTTGTGGGCGCCGTCTGCTGTCGCATTGATACGACCGATAATCAGCGGCGCCTCTACATAATGACCCTGGGCTGCTTGTCGCCATACCGACGCCTGGGCATTGGCACCGTCATGTTCGAGCACATACTGAACTTTGCCGAAAAGGATGGCAATTTCGACAGCATCTTTCTGTGAGTATGCCCATGTGTATCTTTTTGGCGTAATAATACCCTAACTTTTTCACTTTTGTCAGGCACGTGCAAATCAACAACGATGGCGCCATCGAATTTTATAAGAAATTTGGCTTTGAAATTGTCGACACCAAAGAGCAATACTACAAACGCATCGAGCCAGCGGATGCACATGTGCTGCAGAAGACTCTGCGCCGCAAGAAATCGGATTTGCACCATCATGCGCTTACCAACGGTGCTGTGAACGACAAGAAGGATCGGCGGACCTGAAAACGGGCCCTGTGACGACGGCTGTTTCCTTACCCAAACCTCACGCAACAATAACCCCAACACCAACAGCAACAACAACAGAAACCGTATTTAGTTTTAAAATTTCATATTGAACAAAATCATACAGTTAGACAGACATCTGCTCAGTAACAACGCAACTAGGAGTAAAGTACGCCAATTATATACGTTGATATGATATAATTCTAACCGTTAGATAGTCCACATATGTATGTATGTAGTGTGTGTACGCAATGGCGCTAAATAAACCCAACTGGCAAATTGTGTTTTCAATTACCACACACGATTTTATCTAACGGCAATTAACGCACTGTACGCCTGAACGTCTAATTGCTGCCGTGCGAGCGGCTTAAAAGCAGCCTTCGAGTGGACGCCTAGCACAGACGGTTTCAAAGGATGAAGCGGCTAACAACGCACAGCAGCGACGGGTTCGTCTATTGCTACAACAGCCTGTACAGGCTGTTATTTTATTGGGGAGTGATTACGTTCCGGCTGCACAATCAGCGCGACGGCGGACCAAGATCAACTCCACTGCGGGTTCTCTATGCGTTGAGTGTGCGCTTTGGCCTGGTCTTCGGTTTTGGAGCCGGCATCTACCTAAAGGTGAGCGATGCGCAAATGTCGGGGGCTATGTTCAGCCACATGTCGCCCGTAGTCAAGATCATCTTCACCTGGGAGAGTCTCGCTTGCATCATAACGTACGTGGAGCTCTGTGTGTCGCTGGACACGCATCGCAGCCGTCATATAAGGATGCTGGCCAGCATGCAGCTCCTGGACACGCAAATCTCTGCACAGTTTCCGCATGTACGCTGGCGCTATCATCTCACACGATCCAAGTACTGGTACGGCTCAGTCGGGGTATCCTGTGGCTATGTCTTGCTTTCGCTCGCCATCATGTTTGATACGACGCGCTGCAGCTGCGGCTATGTGTCCACGATACTCATCGCAAGCACTTACTCGTTGCTGACAAGCACACTTGGCTTGATGGGCTTTATACACGTTGCCCTAATGGACTACCTGCGCATACGCTTTCGCCTCATTATAAAGCTGGTCGAGCAGCTCTACAAGGCGGCGGATAAGCACAAACAGGATGAGCTCCAGCAGCGCATTGACCAGCTTATTGACTTTGCCAAGCGCTGCTCCCAGCTGCTAACCGAGATGAATGGGGTCTGTGGATACGTTGCCGCCGCGGGCATCTTCTACGACTTTGCTCACATGACCTGCTTTGTGTATGTGCTTTGTCAGAAATTACTCCGCATCGAGCCGTGGGACACGCAATATGCATTTATATCCCTGCATCTGGGAGTTCACATCTACAAGGTGCTCATCACCAGCATCTACGGCTACCTTCTGCAACGCGAGGTAACTCTCAATCCTATTATTCCTGAACCTCCTGAATCCTCCTGAATCCTCCCCAGAAACGCAACTGCATGCGTCTGCTCAGTAACTACGCTGAGCATTTTGGCAACCAGGCAACACATAAAGATCAGGTTGAATGCTTTCTCTACTGGCGGATGCACAATAACCACATTGCCACCATAGGCACGAGTTTCCCGTGCAATATATCCCTGATATACCTGGTAAGCTCCTCAGCTCAAATGTTTATCAGAATTCATAATATTATTTCTTTCCGACAATGTGTTTTTCGCTATAATCGCTACGGAATCTGTACGGAATCTAGTTTCATCCTTTTGGTTTAATATGCATGACAATATTTAGCAATGATATACATTAAATATTATTAAATAACATATTTTAAGAACAACTTTATTGTTTAAGACTAAATTTGACAGATTTCAAGATAATAATTTTAGTTTTTTGGCTAAGCAAAAATATAAATTCGATTTCTCGGGAACTTATTTCAAGCACATTCATGTGTATATTTGCATTTAAAAGTGAAATACATATAACGAAAGAGAATTTTATTTTTCAGGTTCTTAACGCCATGGCTAATTACGTAATAGTTCTGGTGCAATTGCTTTTCCAGCTTCAAGATAAAAAACAAGGTCAGGCGATTCCAATACCCAAAGATGTGGAGTTATTAAAGCCTATCGATCAAATAACTCATCTTAGTGAGGTTTTGTAATTGTTAACCAAAGTTAATTGAATAAATGTTTCTTTTATAAACATTACCCTCAATAGTATGTAATGAACCAGCTTACATACAGAGCGTACGACTTATATAAACAAATGTTATTAAGATATTAAAAAGTGACTTTCGCAACGTTTATACGACAGCATTCCTTGATCTTCATACGAACTGAGAGTGCTGTAAGCTCGGTCAAGTATAATCGCATATTCCGACAGTTTTTCGCATCTTATGTTGCTTAGAAGATTCAATTTCCTGACAATATAATGGGAAAGATGTTGCCTTTTAACTGCATCGCACAGTCCATAAAGCAACTGCAATGGAGAAAGAAAGTTATATTTCAACTAATGCTTAATACAGGTATTCATTCAACACCACTTTTACCAATAAAAATGCATCGTCCAAAGTAGTTGATATTGCGTATTCGTGAAGATTCAGTGCCAAATTCATTAAATGATAATAGCGTATTTCGGTCAGGCCCTTCGCTTCGCATAAAGCCTGCAGGATAATCAGCGCATTCCTCACGACATTCACCTGGCACCTGCTGGTCTCTACGTCTGGAGTGCAGGGCAGGAACGAGTATTTAGCCATGCTGTATGTCAACTTGGTTAATGCGGAATAACTAAAACCTTCGTGTACAAGCAATATTGAGGGCACAAAAACAATTTTGGAAACCCGCGATTTCGACTGTGCGAAAACAACGTGCGATATGTCGTGCAACACATAAGTCAATTTGTAATAACCCCCCTTAATTCCTCTGAATCTATTCTTATATCTGGCAAATGTTTTGAGAAATATGTCATCCAGCCAATTTTTCAGCAAATGGCGATTAACTAAGCCCTTTTCATCTGCCATTGGCAAATCGTAGGGTACATCTGATACGTCCAAGCACACATAGTTGTCATTATTTACAAATGAAGAGATTTTTCGATACGACGGTAAACTCAGCTCAAGCATCACATCGTACCGATCGTCAGAATTGTGAAGGCGAGTGTGATGAGCGGGGATGCCTGTCAAATAGATTGATTTTTACTATATGTACTTACGTATGTTTGAGCTATTCAACAATTCTCACTTACCGAAAGGTATGGTTCTGCTGAAAAGGTCATCAAATGACTTACTACACATACACAAATTGTTTACCACATAATCTTTGACGCTTTTAAAATCTTGAGTTTCATACCATAACTTGGGACTCGCTAGTTCTTTGGCAATATTTTCTAGATGACAGTTAAACGGTTCGGACATCTTGTAACAAAGAAAAGTGTAATATTTAATTGATTGAATATTATATGCGGCTTTCGAATAATCTTTTAAACTCGGTTTGATGAAATTGTTGAGTACGCAGAATTGCGCAAAATTAATTAGAAAACCAGCCTTGCCACTTTATTTTTTGTAACTGTCAAAGTTGTCACAGTGTGGCACAGAGACAATACTATCGATCATCTCTAATAAAATACTGAATTACTGTAAAATTCCAACATTTATTTAGTATTTTATTAATCGAGCGTGTTCCCGCCCAGAAGATCATAGAAGAATATACCAAAAGCTATACGCTCGTTTTATTATATTGTTGCAAACGCGCTTAAAGGAATATATGCGACTTTTTTTTTATCAGCATTTTTATATTTATTTAAAGTCTGCACCCTTATTAGGCAATAATTAAATTTGAATTGCCTTAAATTTGTGCTTAAAGGAATATAATCCACATACTGCATAGAAATCGATGATACATTTCCCGCGCAAAATGGGTAGAAAAGAAATAGCTAAAATTTGAATTCATTTTTTTTGGTTTATTAGGATAATACAAAAAGTACAAAAGTAGAAAAGTTGTAGTCCATTGAATGGTTTTCAAAATTAACTTGGCAAGTTGTAAATAAATATAGGTAAATATTTGTCAAGTATTTGGTTGATTTGAGGTTGTTTCTAGATGTCTATTCAAAGAACCTGAGGCAGCGTGCAAAGCTCACCGTTGACTTATACGAATACGAGTCAAGCACATTGTAGGCATCGCAAAGTTCGCTGGTGTACTGCGACATCTCGTTATCCGTAAAGTTGCCGAGGAGATTCATTTGCGAGTTCCAGACATATGGCAGATGGCCTTCGAGGAATGCGTCGCACAGATCAGACAGCAACTACATGTAACGAAGGCGCTTAGACATTTGGAGATTTAAAGTTTGGAGTACTTACCATAAGAAAGAGCTCGCTAACCGACAGATGGAACATCTTTGAGTAGCCATCTCGCCTGGCCATCCAAATGGCCAGGGTGACAAAGTGATAGCAGCGCAGCTGCCACAGCTGCTTGGCATTGCGCAGAGCTTGCAAAAGACGCAGTGCATCCCTCAGTGCTTGGCCGCAGCGCTCCACGTGCTGCAGCTCTGCCTGCGCATTGCTGATCATAAACGTGAAATTGTGCGTATTCCCGCTCGTATATTTGGGTATTGCATGCCAGGTGCCCGATTTTGGACGCACAATTTTTACGGCCGGCACAAAGTCAATGTGAAAGATGCGCGACGGAGACTCCGCTGTGATGGTGTACGTAATGCCGCGCCACTTATAGTCCAGCGTGTACTCGTCGTAGTCACCGTACACCACGTTGCCATAGTTGTCCAGGGCATTCACAAAGATGTTGTGTAGCCAGCGCTTGAGGCTGTAGCGATTCATGTACATCCATTTGTTGTTGGCCAGGCGCTTGAATACCATATTATCAAGACAAGCGTCCGAAAAGTCTAGGAACACCATGCCAGGATGCTGCTCGTCCTCCACCTGCTCGATACGGCTGTAAGCCGGAAAGCGCAATTCCATCAGCACATCGAGCTCGTCGTCATTATAAAGACGTACATCATGCGCCATGCTGCCTGTAAAAGATGGAAAGCATTCTCATATTGATGGATGTTAGGATATTTATGGCACCTACCGAATAGTATGTCGTTTTGGCATATCTTTCGAAAGTAGGAATCCTGATCGCGCATTATGCTCAATACGTAATCCTTTACAGCAAAGAAGTCGTTGGCATTGGTCGAATCGTTCGGGTTTCTAATATCATCGGCAATCTCTTGCAGACAAAATTCAAAATTCGACATTTCGTTGGTGCTTTGAAGACTTCCAGGTACGAAATGTTTCAGTTCTGCGCGTTAAATAAAAATATTCTGATTGGATACAATTGAGTTAAAAACTAAAGTTATTTAATAAAGATTCATTGGGACTTTTTATTATTATTTGTTCAATTTATTATTATTATTTGTCTAATTTTAGATACAAAATAAAATAGTTGCATTTTGTTCCAAGTTTTCCACTTTTTGAAACACAGCTCATATTAGTTTTTACATAGACAAACATATAAACTGTTTCCACCCATTTCCCGATCGTGTATTTGGATTGATAAACAGAAAATATTTCCACTTTTACTACAAAATTAAAGGTACTTTATCTGTATAAACTGTGCTTTTGCCGAAGATTTTAAGATTTGTACGGGCTTAAGTGGTAGGAACATTTTTGTAACCCACCTGTACGTGGTCGGAAAAGCTTAAAACCTTATAGAGTCTATGCTATACACCTGTCTAAATAAAGGCAATTGATTGATTTTAAGTACTATTGATAATAAAAAATAACATTAAACAGAAGTAGAGAAATCTGGTCTGAAATTCAGACTATCTGAGAAATTGCTGTTGCTGTCGAATTGCTCTTTCGATCATTTCAGCTTCTTCCTATTTACGCTTACACGAAAGCATACATAAACTGTGCTTCTTTTTTCTTGATCCGGCATGGAATATGCTGTGATTTGTGATTAGTTTCGGTCAATACCAAAGCCCAAGCTCAATATTTTGAATCCTAGCTCGATTTCGATAACGCCTGTTATCGATTTCGTGGAAACAGGACGAGTTATCGATGTACTTAAACTACATTTAAAATTTCAAGACTCTAGCTCTTATCTTATAAAGCTATGTCCGTCTGCCCCTGTGTATAAATATGTATATATATATTCCGTTAAAAATATGTATGCATTCGATCACCTCTCAATCACCGCTTAAATGGTTTATCTGCAGAGACTATTACAAGTGGAACCTCAAAACTTTTCACAATATATAGACTATATATAAATTGGATATATTAATATATATACATATGTATATAATGGAAATTGGATTTATTCATAGAAACATTTAATTATATGAACATGTGTGTGTCTCTATATGTAAATTCCTATATATTTTATAAAGATTGTGTCCTGTTCTCAACCTGAGTAGGATTTAATTGATAAGGAACTTGAATGGCAGCTTTCTTCAAACTCATTTTATGTTATGACTTTTAATCGTTATTGTTAATTATCGTCAAAAGAAACAAGCTATGTATTGTGATAAGTAAATAGGCAGGTATATATATATGTATGCATATTCTGTCTATGTCTTATAGTTACATGCAGTTACGTACATATACATATACATATACATAAATATGTAGCTACATATCCCTTTGTGTGTATGTTTGTATGTATGCTATATACGACACATATTACATGGTGAGCGCTGCGAAAACTGCATCAAAATTCAGAACGCTGCTGACCAGCCACGGGACATGTTGGGGCCGCTTTGCCCCGCACGGACACACGCACGTCAGTAAAAACATACATGCACACCAACATACCTATGTATATAACATGCACATATATATATACTAAATATACATACATACATATGTATGCGTGTACATAGGTACACACGCAAAGCGCTGGGCTATGCCGCAGTCCCGGACATCGTTTATCGATTTGCGAAAAGCAACAACAGCAGCAACAACTAAAACAACAACAACAACAAAAACAACAAAAGCTCAAAATAAGCGGCGGCGGTGACTGCGCCAGCAACTTCATCGCTCTTTGTAGGCCGCGCCGCTTCAACATGATAGCGAGACCCCAAACAGCAGCAGCGGCAGAGAATCAGCAGAAACAACAACAACAATAAGTACACATACATATACACACACACACATACATACGTATACACACACAATACATATAGCCATGCACAAATACATTGACACTTCTACACGCCCATGCACACAGCCATGCCTCCGGCTTCACGCCGCCGCACGCAAACGCGCCACGCCCCACTCCCGCTCCTCTCGCCCAGTTTCCCCTCCCTTTGTCTACCCGTCCGCTCAGCCATTTGGCGCTAGTGCTTGGGGGAGGGGAGACGCGCGTTGCCGTCCCTCGGCTGGCTGCCGGGCTTTTGATGGCAATGATGATGACGATGAGAACTGGTGACTGGGAATGGGGAGGCCACAAGGACGCGGCAGGCGGCACACTGGATGGGTAGGGGCGCTAAACGAAGAGGAGGGGGGCTGGCGATGTGCGGCAGTCATTCGCCGTAGGAGCTGGTAAAAGGAAGGTGCTTGTTGGCTGCCGCTGCTGCTGCCGTTGCTGTCGCCGTCGCTGGCTGAAGCACGGGACATAGAGAAAAGCGAAAAAATATAATAAAAGCAACAAAAACGCGCACAAGCTGAAGAGATACAAGCATACACACACACATACATACACACATATATGCAGGCGCGTCGACGACGACGACGACGTCTACGTGTTAGTTTGGGTACGCTAGTCCGCCACACAAACACAATCGCAATCACACACACACACACACACAGGCATACACACACATACAAACAGACACACGCACATACTGTAGAAGGAGCTGTGCGGGCGGGACGCAGTGCTTGGGAAGGGAACTGGTCGTAGGTTCGCTACAGTCACAAGCCAGCGACAGCAGCTGAGTGGGCCAAGTGTGGCGCTGGCTGAGACAACGACGACGACGACGGCAACGACGGCAGCGGCGACAGCAACAGCAACAAAACAACTTGAAAAAGGAAAAGAGCCGCAGCAAGAAACGATGCTGGGGATGCTGTGGCCGAGGGGGCGGTGGGTATGGCAATGGGGCACAAAATTCTACAACGTTGCTGCTTTGAATCGATGGAAACAATTTGGGATGCTGTTCAACAGCCGCAGCGGCAGCGTCAGCGGCGGGCGGCCGTTCGTTTGTTCGTTCGCTCGGGCCGCAGCCAAAGCAGCTTATGACGAAGAGACGAAAAAGGGGGACGGGACAGCACATAAAATGCGAGTCAGCTAAGCGACGGCGGACCCAGCAGCAGCGACAACACTAAAAACAAAGCTAAAGAAGAGCAGAAGAGGAAAACGGCAGCAAAAGTTATTTAACAACAACAACGAAAGCTGCCGTGTTGCAAAAATACAAATAGCGGGAAGAGGGAAAGATGAAGAGTGCGAAACAAAGCACAGAGCGCAACGAAGAGCGAGCGAGAGAGAGAGAGAGAAAGACGTTTGTGAGAGGGCGGTGGCCGCAACAACTGATAAGAGCGGCGACAGCGGCTGAACTTTACAACA